CTGTAGTGCTCGTGTAAAGACAGACGTATAGGTCAATGGAATGGAGCTGAGAGTCCAGAAATAAACCTTCACATTTACAGTCAATTGATTTTCAAGAAGGGTGCCAAGATGATTCAATGGAGAAAAGACAGTCTTTTCAAGAAATTGTGCTGGGACAACTAGCTACCCACGTGCCAAAGAATGATGCTGGACCCCAGCCTCACACCGTATACAAAAACTAACTGAAAATGGATCAAAAACCTAAACGTAAGAGCTAAAATCATAAAACTCTTAGAGGAAAACAAAGGCGTAAATCTTTGTTATCTTGAATTAGGCAATGCTTTCTTAAGTATGATGCTAAAAGAACAAACAACAACAACAGAATAGATAAGTTGGACTTAATCAAAATTAACACTTTTGTGTTTCAAAGGAAACTATCAAGAAAGCGAAAAGAGAGCCCACAGAAGGAAATAATGTATCTGTAATTCATATCTCATGATAAGGTGTTTGTATCTACAATACATAAAGAACTCTTACAACTCAAGAATCAAAAGACAAATAACCCAATTTAAACATGGGCAAAGGATCTAAACAGACATTTCTCCAAAGAAGGTATACAATTGGCCAATAAGCACATGAAAAGATGCTCAACATCATTAGCCACCAGGAAAATGCAAGTCAAAACCACGATGAATGACCATCTCACACCCAGGGATGGCTGTAATAAAAGACAGATGATAACAAGTGTTGGTGAGGATGTGGAGAAACTGGAGCCCTCAAACGCTGCTGGTGGGAATGAAAACTGGCACAGTTGCTTTGGAAGATAGTCTGGCATTTCCTCAGTTGGTTAAACGTAGTGTCACCACATGACCCAGCAGTTATACTCAAGAGAAATGAAAATATGTCCACACAAAACTTGTACACTAATGTTCATAGCAGTCTTATTCATTATAGCCCCAAAATGGAAACAATCAAGAAGGGAAAAATAAAATGTGGTCTATGCACACAATGGAACGTTATTCGGCAGTGAAAAGGAATGAAGTACTGATACGCGCCACGACGCAGAGGAACCTTGAAGACGCTGTGTTAAGTAAAAGAAGCCAGACACAAAAGACCACATGCTGTATGACTGCATTTATATGAAATGTCCAGAATAAGCAAATCTATAGAGACGGGAAGTAGATTGGTGGTTGCCTTGGGCGGGGGGTTGGGGAGAAATGGGGAATAACTACTAATGGGTATGGGGTTTCTTTTTGACTGATGAAATGTTCTGAAATAGATGTGATGCTTGCACAACTCTGAATATACTAAAAAGCAGTGAATTGTGCACTTTACATGGGTGAATTGTATAACGTGAATTATATCTCAATAAAGCTGTTATAAAAATCATTGTGATTCCAGATGTACCATATATAAAGATTATCACCATGAGCACCATGTATCTACTATCCAGCTTAAGAAATGGCCCATTATGGGGCTGGCCCAGTGGTGCAGTGGTTAAGTTCCCACGTTCTGCTTTGGTGGCCTGGGGTTCGCCGGTTCGGATCCCAGGTGCGGACATGGCACCGCTTGGCAAAAGCCATGCTGTGGCAGGCGTCCCACGTATAAAGTAGAGGAAGATGGGCACAGATCTTAGCTCAGGGCCAGTCTTCCTCAGCAAAAAGAGGAGGATTGGCAGGAGATGTCAGCTCAGGGCTGATCTTCCTCAAAAAAAAAACAAAAAGAAATGGGCATTATGAATTTAGTTAAAGCCCCTGTGTACCCTCCCTCCCTGATGGCTCCCGCCCACCTGTGTCCCCCCAGGTCTCCTCTCTTCTCAGTTGGTTCCATGTGGTTATCATTCCCATGAATGTAAAACCTCCTCCTTTACTAATCAAACTGCACCTGCTCTCTGAGGACACGGACTGTGCGCCCAGGAGTCTGGAGCCTCAGGGAGAGCATGGTCGCAGTTGGAGGTGGGAGACCCCTGTGCTGAGGAGGGAGTGGAGGGCAGTCCGGCAGACCTGGGTAGGCGATCAGAAAAACCTGGAATCCATGTCAAATCAAGGTGGGTCTGACACTTAGTCCAGTGTTCGTTGCATCCTAACAGGGCTGTGCGGTGGGGGAGTGAGAACTGTGGACTCTGAGAGTCTGTGCCTATTGCTCCCCGTAGAAAAAGAATTCATACAATTCTCTGAGATCTTTTGGGACTGTGGTGACCATAGTGTTGTGTCTGGAGCCTTCTGAAAGGCGCCTGAATACACCGTAGGAATGTGGGATAGTGACTGAGGGCTGGCGGCGGGAGTGATGATCCATTTCTTTGCCTGCTTCCTGCAGGGCTGTGGACGCTGTAGGTGCTCATTTAAATGCTGGGTGGCGTGGTGGGAGGGTGAGTGAGTGGATGGAAGGAGGAACGGGTGGGTGACAGGCAAGGTGAATGAATAGATGGAAGGATGACTGGACAGATGGTGGAGATAAGAATGGATGGATGAGTGGATCAACAAACGGACGGTGAGTGGCTGGCTGGAGGGGCAGTTAGTGGATGCAGAGGTTGGGTAGAGGGTGAAATGTCTGGCTGGCCCTCCGGCTCACTGCTTGTCATCCTTTGCTTCCAGCTTCGGGCAGCAGAGGTGGAGATCAAAGATCTGCAGTCGGAGTTTGAGCTGGAGAAGATCGATTACTTGGCCACCATCCGGCGGCAGGAACGTGACTCTATGCTCTGCCAGCAGCTCCTGGAGCAGGTGCAGCCCCTGATTCGCCGGGACTGTAACTACAGCAACCTGGAGAAGATAAGGCGCGAGTCCTGCTGGGATGAGGATAATGGCTTCTGGAAGATCCCCGAGCCCATCATCATAAAAACCAGCCTCCCAGTAGGTCAGGAGCCTTGCTGTCCACTCGGCACTCCCCGCCCTCCTCCACAGTTCCCCCTCCTGCGACTGACAGGGAGCCATGTGCCCCTCCCCGCTGGCTGTGGGCGCAGCAGACATGACCCTGGGTATCCAAAATGTTGGGCACCTGAGAGAATGGTGTGTTCTAGAGTCAGACAGATGGGGGTTGGAATTCTGGTTCCACCACTCTGTGTGTGACCTCTTTGGGACTCAGTGTCCTCACCTGTGACATGGGGATTAACAGTAGCACCTTCCTTAAAGATCGCTGGGTGGCTTAAAACGTGTTAATACACATCAAACTCTTAGAGCCTTCCCTGGCACATTTTAAGGGGTGGCACATTTTATCCTTCTCTCCATCATCACTGTCATTATTTCATCCTACAACAACCCTGTGAAAGACATGGATTACTTCTCTTACACACGAGGAAGCTGAATCTCAGAGAGTATAGGTGACTTACCCAGAGTCACAATCATAGCCGTAAGTTGTAGGACCAAGGATAGAATCCAGCTGTTCAGAGTTTTTCATGCCTGGTTCAACTTCGGCTTTTGCCATTGACCTCCTATGTGACCTTATGAAGGTCACTGTCCCTCTCTGGGCTCTGGTCCCCTGATCTTCACAAAGAAGGGGCTAGGTAAGATGATTTTGAGGGCCCCTGCGTCTCCACTGTGGTGGATCTTTCTCCAGCCACGGAGCTGGCTTTGCCCATTCAGGGAGCAGCAGGCTCTTACATCCCGCAGGGCCCCCATCAGTCCTCTCCCTGGTCCGAGAGTGTTCGTCCAGGTCCTACATCTCTGATGTTTACCGATGGCCGCTGACGCCATCCCTGCTGAAACGCCAGCCAGCTCCGTTTCCCCAAGACTACGGGCAACAGCAGTTTCTTTTCTTTCTCCCGCCCCCACCAGCCTGCTGTCTTGCCTGGAAGCAGGGGAATGGCTTCTTTGGCACCTGAGCCCTCCTGCTGTCTGCTTCCTAACGTCATCCTCGGCCTGGGCTTGGAAGCCTGAGCCAAGCCTGAGCTAGGCCTGACCCCGATCCCTGAGGATAGTGTGGCAACCTCCCTGCGCTCCCCCCACCCCGTCCTGGTCCCTCTGGTCCTCACGCCTGGTAGCAGTGACTGCAGCTTCTGTTTTCTCGTAGCAGTTTCAACAGGGCCACAGATCAAACCAGCCCGCAAAACCTCTGCAGCGGACACGGGCGAACCCGGCACGGTAAGGCCTCGGGAGAGCGAGTGAGGGGTGGGGAGCTGGCGGGGCTTTGCCCCAAGCTGCAGCAGGTCAGCATTACTGTAGGGAACTGGACTTGTGCTTTCGTCCCACCGAAGGACAAAGCAGGGCGCTGAGCCCGGACCCTCTCCCTATGCCTGCCTGGCACCTAGACCCTCAGCCGCTCTGGCCCTCACGCAGAGGCGCTTACGGTCCTAACCAGAGGGAAACCAGATGCTTCCAGCCAGCCCATCCTACTAGAGAAGGATGGAAGCGTCAATCTCAGAGGCCAAGCAGTGCATCTGGTCCCCTGGGCCCCAGCTGGTATCCTTGGACCAAAGGATCCTCAAAGGAGCCATGAAACATTCACTGGGATTCTAAAGTCACTTTATTTTCATATCTCCCATATTTTGTATTACAACTGAAATACATATCCTCAAAGCAGAAGTCAGCAAACTTTTCTGTAAAGGACCAGATAGTAAATATTGTAGGCTTTATGGGCCATATGGTCTCTGTCACAACTACTCAACTCTGCCATCGTAGCACATAAACAGCCATTGACAATGCAAAAATGAATGAGCATGGCTATGTTCCAATAAAACTTTATGTACAAAAACAGTCTGGGGGCCAGGTTTGGCCGATAGGCTGTAATTTGCTCCTGCCTTAAACCATTACAGATATTTCAGAAAATCCCTACAGAACATACCTTTGTAGTCACGATAAGGCCACTCATAGGTTAATGAATTCCAGCCAGGCATCTCTGCCTGAACAACTCAGGGTGGCTGCAAGGAGTGTCTCACGCTGGTCTAAAGCTCTGATTGGCTGCTTCTGATAACTTAACTTTGTATAAAAGGGAAAGCTGTTCCTGAAAAAACCATTCTTAACCTGGGACCACAAAGGGGTTATATGAGTCAGAATACATTTAGTTCCAAGTGATAGATACCCAAGCAATCATAAGCAAAATAGGGAATTTATTGGTTGATGTTAAGTGTTCCAGTTTCAGGCATGGCTGGATCTAGGGGCTCAAACAGTCAGAGTTCTGTGTTTCTTCATCTCTTGGTTCCGCTTCCCTTGGAACGCTAGCTTCAGACTCAAGCAGGATTTCTCCACATGTCTGGAAAGATGGTTACTGGCAGCTGGTGATCTGATAAGAAGAAAAAACCAGTCTCTTAAAGCAGCCTTAAACCAACACTTGTGGAAGGATTCTAATAAGCTCTCCCTGGTCATGGGCCTACTCTTGGACCAATGTCTATGTCCAGAAGATGTAGTTCTGTGATTGGTCCAGTCTGGGTCACATGTCCAGCTGTGTAGCCAGGGGGTGGGCAGGCAAGAGTGGCAGTGTTTAGAGCACTGTGAATGATCACCCCACCAGGACCACGTCCAGTGGGAGAAGGATAGTCCCTGAAGGAAGAGATTGAGGCTGAAGAAAATAATAGTCCTTGGTGATAAAGAGGTTGGGACTCCGGTTCTAAGGGTCTTGAATGTGCCCCTGAGCTGAGTACTGCGTTACCTGTTCCGTGAACATGTGATGGGTGTGGGGTGCGGAGTATCGCCCCCGCCCCTGATGGAGCTGGCAGGATACCCTGTTTTGAGCTTTGCAGGAGGCAACAAGGCACTTCCCGTCCCCAGGAACGGGTGGGGAGTGGGCTTGGCTGGAGACTGTGACTCTCTTGCCGTGAGCTGCCTGGACCCCACCCTGGCGTCTGGGGTCTGTAGAGGGGAACACCAAAGGGGACAGCCCCCACCCCACCCGGCTTGCAGAGGCTGCTGAGCCCTGGGTAAGGGCCTGGATAAGAATTGCACAAACAAAAGGTCTTAACCCCTGAGGGTTTGGAATCTCAGCAGAAGGAAGACCGCTACAAGCTGATGCTCAGCCGGAGCGACAGTGAAAATATTGCCAGTAACTACTTCCGGTCGAAGCGGGCCAGCCAGATCCTCAGCACGGATCCCATGAAGAGCCTCAGTGAGTCCCCTGCGCACCCCTGTCCTCCAGCCCCTCCCCCAGAGCCATCCCCGCCCTCGACCAACTGGGAGGGGCCTGAGGGGGCGATTTGCAGTCAGACAGGCCTGGGTTGAAAACCCGTTCCCTCTCTGAGCCTCAGTTTCCTCAGCTGTAAACTGAGGGGGATGTGCCGACTTCTCAGGAGTAGGTGAGAGGAGGTGGGGAACGGCCCAGCCCAGGGGCTGGCACCCGGCAGGTGCTCAATACACAGTGTCCGCTTTCCTCTACCCCTTCGGCTCCTGGGGGAGAGGTGCTGTGGGATTCATGTCTCCGCTGACACACAGTAGGCCCTCAGCATGCAGCTCAGGGCCCTGGCCACAAAGGCAAAACACTGTTAAAGCAAGAATCAAAAAGCACTTCATTCTTCTGTTTTTAAAACTAAAATCAAAGACCACAGAGCTGCCAATAAACTATCAATGAAAAGCAAATCTCAGTTCTACACTGAGGTTATTTAAGAGGCAGAGTAAGTGGAGTTGAAGAACAAGGAGGGAAAGAAACATCGGTTGAGTCTCTGGCATCATGCCCATGCTGCAGATGAGGAAACCGAGGCTCAGAGAGGAGCAGCTCCCCAGCGTTACCCTGCTAGGAACGGGTGGAGCTGGGCTTCGAACCCAGGCATGTCTGGCTTGAGATCCCAGGCTGCCTCAGTCTGAGGCTTTGAAACTCCACACTCCCAGCCCAGACCCTTGGATGCAGACGTAGTTCTCTCACCCAGAGCAGCTTCTCAGAGCTTCGGCTCCCAGCTGTGGGACCAGGGCCTCTGGCTGGGCGGGGGGTGGGCCAGACTCTCCACCCGCCCACAGAGCATTTTCTCCCCATCCCCGGCACTCCTGGCTGACCAGCCCCTCTGCCCCTCTTCTCCACAGCACATCACAGCTCACCGCCAGGCCTCAGCTCTCCACTCAGCAACAACTCTGCCACCTCGCCCACGCAGGCCCCTGAAATGCCCCAGCCCCGGCCCTTCCGCCTGGAGTCCCTTGACATCCCCTTCAGCAAGGCCAAGCGTAAGAAAAGCAAAAGCAGCTTTGGCAGTGAGCCCCTGTGAGCACAGCTGCCTGCTGCTGCCCTGCCTTTATGTTTCCGTGAGACTGCTAGGCCCTCCCAGGGCAGCCCCAGCCAGGCCTCCTCCCACCAGCCCCCCACAGTGACCAGGAGGCCTGAGGGGGCCCTTGCGCTGGGAAGACACATTCCGTTCCCTGTTACCCAGAGAGCCTACCTCTGCCCGGGGCGTGAGCCCTCTGCAGGCTGGACCATCCTTGGAGAGGCTGTGCTGGCTCTCCATGTCCCAGTAGTGTTCTGTCTGCTCACCTGCCACAGAGCCCACCGTTTGTGCCCACCAGTGTTGTCCTGTGCCTCTTTGGGCTCAGAACCTCAGCTCTGCCTCAAGGCCTTCACCAGCCCCGACGGAGTGGGCAGCAAATTCCACATGGATCAAGCTCAATATCTTGGCGACTGAAAATCGTGCCTCCACCCATGGGCCCCACTTCCTGGGGGAAGCCCTGGGGATGGGCACAGGAGGAGTCGTGGAGCAGCTGTTCCTGTGCTGCCCACCCCCAGCTGGTCTGTGGCCCAGAGGAGGCCACTCCAGTTCAGCTGCCCCAATAAACTGCCTTTTACTGATGAGTTCCCCTCCCTGATCCTCTGACAGCGTCGCTGGGGCCCCTCCCTGCCACTGCTGCCTGGCTTTCACAGGAAAGCTCTTTCTGGAGCATGGGTTCTTACCTGCCTGAGGCCTTTAAAACCAGCGGGCCCCAGGGTTTCTGCAACTCCCTGAATCATGAGTCTAAGTGCATTTTTCTGGGGAGAGCATCTGAACTGTCATTAGATTCCCAAAGGATCTGTGACCCAGGAAAGCAGAGCCCTTGTTTTGGAAAATAGAGGCCACATCTTGCTGAGGCTCAGAGAAGGCCCAAGTTTCACAGCCCTCAGGGATGCTGCTGGAACTGGGCGTCCTGACACGGTCAGAAAGGAATCCAGGCCACCCCGGCTACCTAGGACATTCTCCTGCCTTTGCCCATTGTATCCCAGGCCTGCCCTGAGGGAGGGGCCCACAACCTGAGGGAGAAGCCTGGGTCTTTGGTGCTGTCCTGAGCCGTATCTCACTCTGAGCCTCACCAGTGAAATGAGGACAGCACCCACCTCACAGGGTCATCGTGAAGGTGAAATGAGATAGTACGTAAAGTTCCCGGGTGTCCCGTGTCGGTGCCCCTCATTCCTCCTGCTCCCTGTTTGTATTAGTTACTGTGGTGGATCCCAAAGCTATGTGCCTGGGCCCAGGAGCTCCCACTCTGGAGAAGCCGGGGCAGAGGGTGCTGAGGTCACATTAGGGGTCACTCTCACCTCAGGCTGGCTGCACTGCAGACTTTGAGTGAAAGGAAGCGAGATCAAGTCTTTAAGGGGAACAAAGCGCCCTTGCGAAGGGAGCAGCTTCGCGTGGGGCTACCATAAAGGATGGAGATCACGGGAGGCTTAAGGTGGGAATGTGGGGAGGGGCTCCTGGTACAGGGGGCTGCACGGGCAGAAGGCAGGAGGTGGGGAAGCTCAGGGCATGTTAAAGCTTGGAGGAGACTCGTTCCCTGGGAGCCCTGAGTTAGGCACCGAGGGGGATGAGGCGGCCAAGATGAATTTAGACGGAGACCTGAGAGTGAAGAGCCCTTGGGTGTCCCTGAGCTGTGACAGAGGCTTAACTTGTGGTGGAGCCAGTGGGGATGGAGAGGAGGGAGAGTGACTTAGAGATGCAGAAGGAGGTTTGGACTTTTGCTCCCACATCCCTGGCTTGGTGGACAAGTGTAAAAGGTCAGAGGGCAGCTACCTTCTCTCTCCACATTACCTTCATTTGCCCCAGGATTGTGGTTGGGTCCCAGAGAACAGTGGAAGCCTTGGAACTCTTGTGGTAGCTTTTACTTCCACCCGTGGTGGGTCTGAGGCCGCTCTAAGGTGAGCCAGGTGGCCCCAGCATGAACTTAAACAGGGTGGGAGCCAGCATTACTGAGTAGATGCCCAGCTAGCCCTGCGCCAGTCCTCCCGAGAGCGCGGGCTGTTCCAGAGGCACACAGGGAAGGGGGAGAGCGGGGCCTCGCTATTATTTCTACTTCTAGCCTAGGACAGGCGCCTGGAGAGCAGTGAAATGCCTGGAGAGAGCCGGAGGCTGGAACGAACCCGGCTAGAGCTGTCTAATCGCCAGGCCAGTCGCCGCCCATCCACGCTGCCTCCAGCGTGGGCCACCAGACTGGGCAAGACAGGCCGGTGCCGAGGCCCCTGGGCCCGGGAGGGGGAGGGGACTCAAAGGGCCCCTGTCCTTGATCTTATTTCTCCAACCCCTTCCTCCCTGGAGACGGTGGAGGTGGGGCCCGGTTCCTAGTCGCGAGTCTGTCCTGGACCAGCGAGGACCCTGCCAGTGAGGACCGAGGAGGTGGCCCAGGGTGGCCACCGCGGCGCTAGACCCCGCCCGGGACACGGCCGGGGTCGGCCTGAAAGGCGGGCTCAGGGCTCCGGGCGGGAACGGCCTGGGCGGAGCCAAAGGGCACTCGGCCTTACTGATTGGCCGCGGCTGCAGAGCTGTCTCTCTAGGATTGAGCCTTTTCCTTCGGGGAGGCGGAGCCTCGCGCCCCTTCCGCCAATAGGGTTCAGAGGCTCCGCCTCCAACCGGGGCACTTCCGGTGGTGCTCCCGGCTCTTTACCGTCCGAGCGGCGGCTCCCGACGCCCGGCCTTGGCTTACCCGGATCACTTCCGGGTGGTGCTCCCCGATCACGAGCCGCGATTGGGCGACCGTAGATTGGCACTTCCGGTGTCCAGGTGCTTGGTTCTTTGGTAGGAGGAGGAAGATGGAGCACGGCACCGCGACCCGTGCTTGGTCCCTCTTGTGGCTGCTGCTTCCCCTGGTTGGCCCGGTCTGCGCCAGCGGTCTCCGCACCTTAGTGCTGCTGGACAACCTCAACCTGCGGGAGACGCATTCGCTCTTCTTCCGGAGTCTGAAGGGTGAGACCGGGGTCCAAGGGGCGGCGGGTGAGAGTTTGGGGTTGGGAAAGTCCTCGAGCCCGAGGGCATCGGCCACCCTCCCTCCCACTCGGTTTCCACGAGCGGGCCGCCCGGGACTGGCCTGCCGCGTGGGGGGCGGTCGTGATCTGTGCGGCGGTGCCTTCCCTTTGCCTCCCGTCTGCCTCAGCTCCCTGTTTCCCTCTCGTCCAGACCGGGGCTTTGAGCTCACCTTCAAGACCGCAGATGACCCCAGCCTGTCCCTCATTAAGTACGGGGAGTTCCTCTATGACAATCTCATCATCTTCTCCCCTTCGGTAGAAGGTAAGCGCTGCGCGTCGCCCCCAGAACCGGGACTGATCGATCGCTGTCTTCTGGATCTTGGATATTTCCTGGGTCACGGGATGGGTCGCTAGCCCTGGGCGCTGCTGTTCCCGGAGAAGAGGAAAATGTTAACTTCTAACCTGGGCGTCTCCTTCCTAAATGACACAGCCGAGGATTGTGGGGTCAGGTGTTGCCACGACCATGGAGCTGCGGGCCCTGCTGCTCTGAGAAGGGAGTTTTCCCTGTAAAGGGCCTGTAGGAAACGTGGAGAGCTCCCCTGGTTGGGTTGGCTTGTGGAAGTAGCATGCTATAAAGAAGCATGGTGGTAGTTGATTGTAAAAATTCAGATGGATTCAAAGTTCTCAGGCTTAAAAAGAACCTTAACGATAATTTAGCCTAATCTTCTGTTTGAGGCTGGATGGATATGTCCAGGGCCTGGTAGAGGGCTAGTTGTTGAACAGAAGGAATATCGTCACTAGTTTGTCCAGTTGATACCAATATTCCTGTGACAGAGACCTTACTATCTTACGAGGCAGTCCACTCAGCTCTTGGACAACTCTGTTAGCAAGTTTTTATATTAAACTGAAATTTGTCTTCTACTTCCTACTTTTTTGGGGTGGGGGTAGATGGGGAAAGGATTTTTTATACTCCCTGGCGCCTTAGGAAATAAGTTTAATGCTCATTTTGCTTACAGGCATAGCCTTTGCGTAAGCATAGCCTATTCAGGTGTTTCTTCTCCAGACTAAATATCCTCAGTTCTTTGGCCATTTCTCTTTTGCCCTGCTTTTTTGGTGAGCATCCTAGTCGTCCTCTTCTTTATTGACATCAGTTTCTTTTTCTCAGGGACTCAAGTTGTCCCTGTCTGGGCTGAGACAGGACTGCTGTCTCTCCCTTCAGTTGAAGCTTAGGAAGGCTTTCACTTTCTTGGCAGCTGATGTAAAGTTCTAGCCAGATTCTGTTGCCTGCTGAAGGCTTTGAGCCCCAGGCTTCCTCTTAAAAGAGGAGATGAGCAAGTGTTAGGACCAGCATCAAACCAAAACTTTCTCTTTGCTAGAGAAAGGTTGAAAAATAATTGGAAAAGGAATAACCCTCTCTCTGAGATTCAGTGTTCTGTGAAGCCCTGTCCCACATCACTGTTGCCACCTTTTCTGCCCCTAGCGGAAGGGGTCCCATACTTGGGGAAATGCTGCTGCAGGAGAGCCTCTCGGGCACTCCTTGGGAGAAGGCTTGTGTCTGCTGGGAGGGCTCAGAGTAAGGTTTGGCGCCTGCTCCGAGGGCCCCTCTGTGGTACTGTGACCACCATTAGCCTTCTCACGTGTGAGAACACCGGCCTGGCTTCCTTCTCTGTGTATCAGCAGGTTCTTTGCTCTCTCTGGAATCAGGCAGCTCCCAGCTCGCATGCAGTAATGGCTATAGGAGAAGGATGCTGAGCATATCCTTTGTACCCAGAAAAAACAGGATCCTTGTTTCATAGGCCTCGCCTTTCACAGTCGGGCCTCCTAACCCACCATCAGCCTGCTTCCACCCTTGCCCGCTGTGTCCGTTCACCAGAATCATCCTTTCAGAATCTAAATCCGATCATGCTGTTCTCCTGCTCGGAAGCCTCCAGTGCTCCTCCCCACGGCTGTCACCCTCCCGGGGCCTACAGAGCCCTGCATCAACTGCCCTCCCTCCCTGCTTCTCCCTGGCCTGCTGTTCCGTTCGTTACTCACCTTGTCACTCTGTCCAGCTGAGCCACACTGGGCACCTTGCTGGTAACATGCTCACTGCCTTGGGGACCTTGCACCTGTCATTCTCGATGCCTGGAGTGCCCCATGCTGCCTGGCTCACTCTCACACCTTTTCCAATGCCACTTGCCCGAGCTCTTCCCTGACCAGCCTGTATGTAACGGCTCCCCCTCACTCCACTGTCCCCTTTATTTTTCTTCTCAGCACACAAGGAATAATTTTCATTGAATGAATGAGTGAATTACTGAGCACTCCCTGCATTACGTTATGTGGAGCGTCAGGGGACCCTGTGGGGAAGGCTTGAGCCTCTGACAGCCCCACTCACTGCTGGTTTTGGATGCTTGTGGCAGTCGCCTGACCGAATCAATTGACCAAAAAGGGTATGATCTCACAGTTACAAATGTAGGAAATTAGTGAGCCTTTTTGGTGATCACTTTAATAAAAGCAGTATTCAGAGTGGTTCTGTCACGGCTATCGTGGATATAACTGTAGGATTAACGGGGAAAAACTACTCAGGTTAGGCAAATGAGTGCTGGAGTAAGTGACAGCGCCATCCTCAGATTCACACGTGCTCTTTCTCAGACACTTTAGGCGGAAGTGAGGCTGACGGGCTCTGCAAACAGTGTTAGGTGACCCTGAAAGTGGCTCTAGTGATGTCAGAGATACTGATGTGAAAGGTGCAGGTGACGAGTTTGAATGAAGTTGTTTCATGAAATGTGAGGGGAAAATGCAGCATTTCCAAACGAATGTTTTATATGTGACTTGTAATATGTGTGACTAACTTAACTATAATCAGTAAGTGTTGACTATTTCGTTTGTACTTCTAAAACTTTATAAATTCGAGCCATTGTTTTTAGATCTCCACACTGGGAGAATGGGAGAATTGCCCCAGTCAGGGCATGCATGGTAAACGTCCGTCTGTGTGGGGCCTCCAGAGGGCACGCTTCCGTGATGGATTGTGGCTGGCCTGCGGTTCACCTTCACCGGCCCAAATGTCAGAGGAACAGTGAGAGGAACCTTCTGGGTCACTGAGTCTGGTGCTTCTTTCAGATTTTGGAGGCAACATCAATGTGGAGACCATCAGTACCTTCATCGACGGTGGAGGCAGTGTCTTGGTCGCTGCCAGCTCAGACATTGGTAAGGCTGACCTGGGAAGTTCTGGTACTTTCCACCATTTCTCCAGAGAGTTTGGAGAGCTTTGCAAATGGAAGCTGCCAAGTTGGCATCATGGGGTGGGCTGTGGCCGGGGTCGTGAGGGAACTACAGAGCCATTCCGTCCCTCCTGTGCCTTTCTGTGACCAGAGCCAGTAAGGTGCAGAGCCTTTTAAGGGCTTGGGACACTGTTTGGTTTTTCCCATTTTTTTGTTTTGTTTTCTGGTGGCTCTTCTCTTACAGAAAGAAGGCAAATGGGGAGGCTAACTGGGCAGAGCTCAAAGTGTTTGACAGTTTTCTTTGTTTCCTATTTTGGACATTTTCAAAGATACTTAGAAGTAGGGAGAGTGCAGTATCCTGAACCCGGTACTTACCCCTCAGCTGCAACAGTTAACACCGGGCCAGTCTTGCTTTGTTCTTTTCAGTATTGACAGATTTTTTTTTTTCCTTTTTTTCCCAAAGGCCCCCTGGACATAGTTGTGTATTTTTAGTTGTGGGTCCTTCTAGCTGTGGCATGTGGGATGTTGCCTCAGCATGGCCTGACGAGCAGTGCCATGTCCACGCTCAGGATTTGAACCGGTAAAACCCTGGGCTGCCGCAGCGGAGCACGCGAACTTAACCACTCGGCCATGGGGCCGGCCCCCAGTATTGACAGATTTTTTTTTTTTTTTTTTTAAGATTTTATTTTTTTCCTTTTTCTCCCCAAAGCCCCCCGGTACATAGTTGTATATTCTTTGTTGTGGGTCCTTCTAGTTGTGGCATGTGGGACGCTGCCTCAGCGTGGTTTGATGAGCAGTGCCATGTCCGCGCCCAGGATTCAAACCAATGAAACACTGGGCCGCCTGCAGCGGAGCGCGCGAACTTAACCACTCGGCCACGGGGCCAGCCCCCAGTATTGACAGATTTTTGAAATCACACTGGGTGGGTCTCTTGCTGGGGTGACGATGAGGAAGAGGGCAGCCTTGTAAGGCCAGGCTCATGCAGGTTGTTTGCTTGAGGTATTACTTCACTTCAGAGGGGTTTTTGTGCAGAAGCAAGGTCACTGTGTCTTTGTGGAGGGAGAGGCCCCGTTGTGTTTTGTTTTGTCAATTCAGATTCTGACCCCTGCGGGCAGGATACCGTGCTGTTGTCCAGGGGTCCAGCTCGGGCTCAGCCTGGCCTGGTAAAGCTGCAGGGCCCTGCAGATGACTGTTGGAGAGTGAGTCCTGGGGATGCTAGGACAGTGGACACTGCTTGGCCCACAGCCCACCGGTCAGGGCTCAGCCAGGCATCTCTTGGGTCTGCAGGTGACCCTCTTCGAGAGCTCGGCAGTGAGTGTGGGATCGAGTTTGATGAGGAGAAAACAGCCGTCATTGATCATCACAACTATGACATCTCAGACCTTGGCCAGGTAATCAGGCCTGTCGTCTTCCAGGTGTCAGGCCCTTAGAGCTAAGCGCAGCCTAGAAACCAGGAGGGAGTCGGGAGGGGCTCCCTGGCTTGGGGGCCCCTTGTCCTCACCACCTGTCTTTCCCTCTGCTCTTGCAGCATACGCTCATCGTGGCTGACACCGAGAACCTGCTGAAGGCCCCGACCATTGTTGGGAAATCATCTCTAAACCCCATCCTCTTTCGAGGTGTCGGGTGAGTGAGCAGGGAGAGGCCAGCAGAAATGTCGGGCCACAGGGGATCACTGTTTTGTCAGGAAACCAACCCAAACTTGTCATTATTTGGGGACATTCCTTCCCCCACAGGGTGTGGATGAGATTAATTTATGACTTTGAGGCAGACTTCATAGTTACATCCAGAGGAGAGCTAACTGGTTATTAAGAAAGCAGGATTCACTCCTGTGAAGAAATGGGCCTTGGGGACCCCAGGGCCTGTGGGCTCAGTTCTTAGGATCAGTGTTGGGCGTTCTTTCCTCCTCCTACAGGATGGTGGCTGATCCTGACAATCCTTTGGTATTGGACATCCTGACGGGCTCTTCAACCTCATACTCCTTCTTCCCAGATAAACCTATCACCCAGGTGAGGGGCCTTTGCAGCCTCGAGGCCTCCAGCTCCTGGGCCCAGCCACGTGCTTTCTTCTTTGAAGATGAGAACTAAGCAGGAAAGCACACTTTGCTGAGACTGTGAAATGAGAAGATGGTGGAGCGGGAAGTGGGCAGAAGCAGTGGGGTCTCAGGTTCCGCCCTCAGATGGGGCCTAGGTTGTTCAGGTCTGGCCTGCTGTCCTCTTGCCCCAGAGGCCGAGCTTGTCCTTTCCCCTGGCTCTCCTGGATGACAGCCTTCTGTTGTTCCCAGTATCCCCATGCAGTGGGGAAGAATACCCTCCTCATTGCTGGGCTCCAGGCCAGGAACAATGCCCGGGTCATCTTCAGCGGCTCCCTCGACTTCTTCAGTGATGCCTTCTTCAACTCGGCAGTGCAGAAGGCCACGCCCGGCTCCCAGAGGTACATGCCAGGAGCTTAGGGCCATGAGGTCTGGGTGGCAGCGTGTGTGCGGATGGGGAGGACTCAGGTGAGGAGGAAGGAGCCTTTGAGCTACACGTGTCAGAGGCTAAGTATCTTCAGGTGCTTTAAAATTATTTGACGACTTGACTTTGTTGCTGTATTGCTGGTGTTGGCAGTCCAAACTTTTTTAGTAATGACATGTCTGGAGACGCTTAGAAAATTGTGTATTTATTATACACGTGACACCAAAGCAACACCACCTCACATCTTCTCATTTTTTCCTGTCTTCCCTTTAACCGGATCCCTAGGTACGTATGGCCCACAGGCAGGAGTTCGCTTAGTGCCGTTTATCCTGGTGGGTAGTGACGAGTCTCGCTTATGAGGCCCCCCTGGAAAGAAGTTGGTGCTGGTGCTCTAGCCTCTCCTCTTCCCTTCCGCAGGTATTCCCAGACAGGCAACTATGAGCTGGCTGTGGCCCTCTCCCGCTGGGTGTTCAAGGAGGAGGGTGTCCTCCGGGTGGGGCCTGTGTCCCATCATCGGGTGGGCGAGACAGCCCCACCCAATGCCTACACTGTCACTGACCTAGTGGTAAGAGCTTCTTGAGTGAGAGGGCCCTGAGGGTTGGCCAAGTTGATGCAGCTCAAAGGCCGTTATTGAACACTTCTGTGTTGGGCCTAAAGAGGCCTAAATAAGGAGGAATAAGTTAACTTCTACCCTGAAGAAAGTCCATTTAGGTGCAGAGAGCCTGCGTGTAAACCAACATCGTAATGGGAGGCCTTTTCAAGAGGTGTGGTTTTGCTGTGGGAGAGCAGAAGCGGGAGGGGCTTCGCTGAGTCATCCTGCTGGGAGCGGGTCTGGAGGATGAATCTGTCAGTCAGGAGAAGCGGGGAAAGGCAGGATGGCAGTGAATATGGAAGCAGGGTGCCGGAGAGTGACCAGCACATTCCAGGAGAGGAGTGCGGTTTGGGTGCAGACTTGGATGGTCCTGTGAAGAGGTGTGGATCCGAGTCAGCGGGATTAACCGCTGGGTGGTATCCTCAGTTGCTGTCCAGGGCTGGGTGGTGGTGGCTCACCCAGGGTTTCAGAACTGGGAGTTCCTGCTAGATTCATGGGTAGGGATTCGGTGCACTGAGGGTGATGGCACCCCTCCAGTCACTGGCCACCCCTGGCTGACCAGCCTTTTATTTCAGGAGTACAGCATTGTGATTGAGCAGCTCTCAAATGGCAGATGGGTCCCCTTTGATGGTGATGATATTCAGCTGGAGTTCGTCCGCATTGATCCTTTCGTGAGGACCTTCTTGAAGAAGAAAGGTAAATGTAATTCTTGCACGAGAAAGCTACAGGGAGACAGTCCCTGCCTCTGGCTTGCTCTCGGGGGGTAACAGAGAAACATTGGGCCACCCCTTCTGGTTATTTGTCTTGGATCTTCCCCAGGTGGCAAATACAGCGTCCAGTTCAAGCTGCCTGACGTGTATGGTGTGTTCCAGTTTAAAGTGGATTACAACCGGCTAGGCTACACACACTTATACTCTTCCACTCAGGTAAGCACAGCTTGTCATCCCTGTTTTCAGCCGGCCTGTGCCCTGCCTGAGCCTCTGAGTGGCCAGGACCTGTCACTCTGCCCTGTTGCAGGTGTCAGTGAGGCCACTCCAGCACACGCAGTATGAGCGCTTCATCCCCTCGGCCTATCCGTACTACGCCAGCGCCTTCTCCATGATGCTGGGCCTCTTCATCTTCAGCATCGTCTTCTTGCACATGAAGGAGAAGGAGAAGTCCGACTGAGGCGCAGAGCCCCGGGACTCCTTACAGCCTGGAGACAGAGGCTTTTTAATAGGATGAGTTTTTCCCTTTATGGTGGGATTTTCTTTTTTTTTTTTTTTTTTTTAAAGCCGTGGGACAATGGCACAGCCTTACCTCAGTGGGAGATGGGGCATTGTGTACCAAGGGGTGGGGGTTTGGAAATGAATTTTATGTAAGCTTTTCCACCTTGAATGCTAAGTCGTATTTTTCATATGTGCGGTCACTCTCATTTCTAAAATAAAGAGAAACATTGCCCTTACACTTCATCTGGCCCCCGCTGTGCTTTGCTGATGGCGGGATGCTGTTTGGTAGCGACTGGATACAAAATAGTGAGTGGCCTCTTAATTGTGCTGAAGACTGGACTGTATTTTCTTTCTTTATGAAATAGTAAGAGCTTCCTTGCTTCTCAAGGGCTAAAATAAGGTTGGTAATACACTGAGGCTGGCGAGGATTCACTGAAGTGGGAAATCCAGGGCCCCAGCATTGGACTTTGCCACAGATTGTAGAATTGCTCCTTTGAAAAGAACCTTAAGCCTATGCTCACCTTGCTTAAGCAATAGTTGCGGTCCTGAAGAGCACGTATAGAATTATATGTGAAATCCCCTCCCCATTGTTGATCTCTGCCCACAAGAGTTTCTTGTCTTTGTGGTATAAGACTCACTCTTAAAGCCAAATATTCAGTTCAAGGCACATACGCATTCTGCAGTTGTAAATTTGCATTTAATTCTTCACGCTTCCTAAAAGAAATGCTGGTAAAAAGGTAAATTAGCAAGTTTAAAATACTACGCTGTTAATTTCCATTTCCTCAGTCATTTTAGCTCTGCTAGACTCAATTTGGTAGCTGGAGGAGCTCTGTGGAAATGCTTCCACACACCCCCAGAGCTGGTCCAGACTGCACCCCCCAGTGCAGGGCTCCCTGCTTCTCGGGCCTCGCTTGGATGTTTCTTCGTTCTGATACCCCACACGTTGACCAACATAAAGCAAAGGTTTGCTTTGGCTCAGGTTACATGCAGACTGATGTCATGGCTGCCACGGTCCATTCCTGGAGCTAGGGGCAAATGTCACAGTCACACTCTGCCACTAACAGCTACTGCCTAGCCCTGGGTCCTCTCTCACGTGGAGCACAAGTCTCCCCGCCTCAGCCCAGCCTCATCTGAGACCAGCCTGGCCACCAACTTTTTGGAGGGCTGTGAGGACAGAGTACGAGCTTAGGGCTGGGCATTAGTCAGCAGTTCCACCCGAGTGTCTTCTCACCTGGGACAGAGAATGCGTCCCTTTGGATTCGTCCGCAGAGCTCTTAGCACGTTACTGTTAGCGCTGACGCGCCAAGGGGCCTCCTGTTGGTCAGCATGGTTTTTAGAGTGAGGCCCTTTGAATTCACATAGACCAGGGTTTGGCAAACTCTGGCCTGTGGGCCAGTCCGGCTTGCTGCCTGTTTTTGTATGGCCTGTAAGCTAAAAATGGTTTTTACACTTTTAAATGGTTGAAAAAATTAGAAGAATACTTAGTGACACATGAAGTTCACATTTCAGCATCCATAAATAAAGCTTTATTGGCGCACCGCCGTGCTCGCTGGTTTACATATTTAAGGCGGCTTCTGTGCTCCGATGACACAGTTGCGTAGCTGCGACAGCCTGAAGTATTTACTACCTGGCCTTCTACAAACGAGTTTGCCAGCTCCTAGTTAGATCAGCTTCTTCACTTCACAGGTAAGGGGACTTTAGTCCACACAGGTTATCTGTTCATCCAAAATCGCACAGCTAGAGTTAGTAGCTAAAGACCGTGCACTCCGACTCCAATTTTCCCCTCCACTTGCCGCGCCTGAGGCCATGGCGGGTTGCTCAGCCCTCCCTGCGCCACTTGCCTCCTGACGCCCGCCCTCACCCAGGAGCCCCCGCCCTCAGCATTCACAGACCATGAGACACAGATGCTAAGTTCTTCAGTAGTTCACCAGCTGCATCGGCCCTCACGGGGCTGCCCTCCAGGAGGAGAGCAGGAGGGCCGCCTGGCACAGCGCTTCATACTCCAGGTTGGCCAGAAACAACACCTTCATTTTGGTTTCCACACAACTCTTCTCGGTAAGCCTGTCGGCCAACAAAGCGGCAGCTGACTGTTGGAGGAGCCAGCCAATCATCTTGTCTGGTTTCAGATTCTTCAGGGCTAGAGTATGCTCCCCCCAGAGGCTTAAATGAAGCACGTTAGCAGCTACTCGGGCAGACGGTCTCTGCAATGGGAAGGGAAGCTGAAGCTGAGAATGTCTGTGACAGAGTATTCGGCCCACAACCCACTTTGTTGATCTTCGTTTCAGGGTCTTCCCTTCTCTGACCCCAACCAAATTCTTCTCCACCCTTCTCTCTCCTCCTTCACTCACCTGACCCCTACTGGCTGCTCTCTCCCCCTGCTCCAGGCTGTCCATGGGTACAGACTGGCCTGGGGGCAGTTTGCAGGTTGGAATAGCCTCCCCATCAGACTGCCTCCTGGGTATGAGCACTGTCTGGAGGGAGGCGTTGTCTCTCATCACTTAACTGGTAGCAGACAGCATCTGCTGTGACCCTGACAGCATGCCGTGCACGGGGAGAGGCAGGTGATGGAACAGTAGTTTGAACCCTGGTCTGTCTATGCTCTTTCACTAGGTGTGCCACCTGAGCCGGACCTGCTACTCTGATTATGGCTTCCAATGTGTTGGCCTTTATATTCCTTTATAGTAATGTCAAAATGTCCAGATCTGGGGCTGGCCTCATGGCCGAGTGGTTAAGTTTGTGTGCTCTGCTTTGGCAGCCCAGACTTTGCTGGTTTGGATCCTGGGTGTAGACATGGCACTGCTCATCATGCCATGCTGTGGCTGCATCCCACAAAGAAGAACTAGAATGACTTACAACTAGGTACTGGGACTTTGGGGAGAAAAACAAAAAACGAGGAAGATTGGCAACAGATGTTAGCTCAGGGCCAATCTTCCTAGGCAAAAAGCAAAAAAAAAGAAAAAGGGCTCACCTAGCTGGCAGTCACCTTAAAAAAAAAAGTCTAGATCTGCTCTCAGGAGATGCCCTCTCATTTATCTGTCTCATTAGATCTCAGCTGTTTTCATACACTACATCTCCATTAAACATTTCTTAAAAATGCATATTTTCCCTTCTGGGTAACTTAAGCAACTAAAGCCAAGAAGAGTTGAGTTGCTGGAATTCTGACTAATTTGGTGGCTAGCTTCCCTCCTCCTATTCATACTAAAATCTGTTTTGTGTTCTCCTGTCCTTGCCCTTTACCTTTGTAAGACAGAGGAGCTGTTACTCTAATGCTTGCCGAAACCTGATCTTTACTTGAACATGGACTCGGGTTTCCATCCACACGATCCCTGGGAAACCTGGGGACAGCCTCACCTTGCTGGCCTCACGCTGGAGCAGGGACCTCACCAGCTGTCTCACGTCTCGAGGCACCGACTCGGGCAGTGGAGGCAGCTGAGCTTCTTGGTAACTGCGGCTTTCAAGGTGGGCCCTGCCCTGGCCGTAAAAGGGGTTGGGGAGCCCGAAGATCTCGTAGGCGAGCGCTCCCACTGCCCAGGCATCAGCCTTGCTGTAGTCGATCACCGCCCTGGGGCCAGGACAGGCCGTGGACACCTGTCGGCAAGCAGTGGGTGAGCTGTCCTGCTGCTGGCATTTCTAACCTCTTCATGCTCCTGCACAGCTCCTGATTCATGGGCGAATCAGAGCCCCGGCCCCCGGAACCCAGAACTGGAGTGGGCTGTGGCTCAGAATTTGCTTAGGCTGCCTACTTCGTGCTGACAACACGCACACCTCCCAGGAGCATTAGGGAGATCCAGATTAAAGCAAAGTGGCAGGGAAGGGACTTATGCCAAATTTGGGTCAGAAAAGATGGAGGTGTTGAGTAAAAATGAGGTATCAAGTCTCGTCCTCTCAGCGGAAACATGGGGAAGAGTCTGCTGACGGCGCTGCCGCGCTCGCGGGACTCACCTCAGGAGCCATCAGGCAGCCGTTTCCGCCCCGATCTACGTAGCAGCTGGTGAAAGGCAACCGCAGGCCGATGCGCTCATCAGCCAGGCAGCAACCAAAATCTGTGATCACCAACCAGGGGCAGCCATCTGGGGAAGGGACAGGAGCTGTAAGCAACTGAGCCTCTCCCGTTCCCTCTGCGAGGCCCTCCTGTGTCCCTGCTAAAGCCACCATCAAGACATGGTGAGATGCACTCACTGGGACTCCTGGGCCCAGGAGCGCAGGCCAGCAAGGCCTGGACAGGTGCCCACTCGCCAGAGAGCTGAATGGGGTCAGCTACCCCAATATGGGCCTGCCTCTGGGAAATCAAAGCCCCTAAGCCAGGAACTGGATAAAAGCTTGGCTTAATCCAAATAATTTTCTAGTAATCAGAGCTGTCCCAAGACCGAAGGAGCTGCTCACCATTTACTCACCAGATGGTGCTAGGCTCTAATGCCCTCTAAGGGCCCTCACACCCTAAGTCTTTGATTTGAACTTAACCCCCAAATGCAAACCAAGAAACAGGTGCACTAGGAAGGTATACAAGTATTCATACAGACTTCCTTTAAAAAGCCAGTTCTTCTAGTAATTTATCTTGTAGTTCTAAATCTACCAGATGTATGAATCTCCTTTACAATATCCCAGGCAAGTGGCCATCCAGCTTCTACTTGAGTCCTTCCAATGATGGGGAACTCATTATTCCCAGAGGCAGCTGGGCCTACACTTGGTCAGCTTTCACCGTTTGAAAATTCTTCCTTATATCGAGCTAAAGTCTACCTCTTTTACTCTATTGGAGAAAACTTCCACCCCTCAAGTTTTTGCTCTGTCAGTGGGCAAGAAAAATGAACTTGGGAACTGTGAACCATGGCCCCACAAACCCCAAAGAGAGAAGGAAAGCCTCCATTTCGAAGGAGAGATTGCTTTTCCCTGTGTGCGGAGCTAAATTAAGACACAACAACTTAGAATAGAGCATAGAAACCAAAAAGACTTGAAGGGCCCTATACGTCCCAAGGCCTAAGCCTACTGCTCCTGGCCAGCTCGGAGGGCGTGGCAGGTGCCTACCTGCGTCCAGCTCCACGAGAATGTTGTCGGACTTTAAGTCTCTGTGCGCGACGCCCTGTTGCACCAGATGGTCCACGCCTTCCAGGAGCTGCAAGGCCATCACCGTGGCGAGGCGGGGGCTTGGGGTATTCACGCGAAGGTACTGGCGCAGGGTACAGGGGTAGCTGGTGGACAGGGGGACAGGGTCCTGGCTGTCACGCATCAGTGGGCCCTGGCGCCTTATTTACTACTAGGGTGATGGCCTTTCCTCTTCTTCCTGGAGCTTTTTGGTTTCTTTTTTCTCCAAGTATCCTTGCTGTTCCCACCCACTATCCTGAAATTAGGAAGTAAGAGCCGGAGCTTCATGTGTTGAAAGTAATGGTACAGATGTTCATTTCCTTAAAACCCCCATTATGACAATATTAGAGGGTGCAGAGGCTGTGGAAGGAGAACTGTTTTTATGTTAAAGACAAGCAAGCTATAGAGAAGGGGCAAGAGTCAAATGTCCTAAAAGCACCAGGTGAAAAGGATGTTCTGAAGACGATGAGATTGCGTCTTCATGAAAGATCATCCTAAAGGGAAGCAGCTCTCCAGGCGGACGTGCATGGCCTCATCTCCCGGAGGCTGAGCCCTTCCTCCCTGCAACCCCGCCCGGCTCCCGTGCGCAGAGGCAGGGACCAGCTCCCACTTGCTCCAGGTCCTGCCAAACGCCTGCCACTTACTTCTTCATAACAAGGAAGAGCGTCCGCCCGTGGCCCAGGCCTCCGGGGTGAAGACGAGGGGGCAGCACATCGGGGTAGTCGACCAGGGCCCCTGGCAGCAGTGGGACAGGGGAGGTGAAGGCGCGGACGACCCGGATGATATTGGGGTGAGGGGCCAGTTGCTTGGGACCTCCCTTGGATGTTCTATTTAAGCCAAGAGGGACAAACGTATAAGGACAGTATTAGATACAACAGCTAGAAAGGTAATAATCTAAGGCCACAATAAATGCTGACATTCATTTATTCACCCGTTTATTTATCAGATATTCACTGAAGATCTGTGTGTGCCAGGTGCAGAGCCTGGTGTTAGAGGGAAAAAAACCCCATAAAGATGACATCTCATTTGATGACCCCACCCATCCATCCACCCCATGTGGCAGAACACAGAGGTTAAGAGATCTTGGAATTAGACTGCCAGGGTTTGAATTCCAGGTCTGCCACTGTAAGTCCTTGGCCAAGTCACTTAACTTCTCTGGGCTTGGTCCCAAATGCAAAGGGGAGTTAGGGTGGTAACAGACTCATAAAGTTGCTGATGTTGTAAAGCAGCTAGAATCCCTGTGACTCCAGGTTCCAGCATAACGCTTGGCATGGAGTGTGAGCTCAATGAGCCTTTGTTGAATGAATGAATGGTACAGGCATAGTTCGTAGCAGATCTGTCACTGGCCTGCCCTGAGTACCCCTCCTCCTCCAGGAGCCTCCACCCACAGCCCTGCTGAGGCACAGTGGCCATATTTTGGACTGTGACTCTGCCTGCAGTGTATCAGCCCCGCCCCTCAACCAAATCTGACTGGACTAAGGGTGGGCACCTGACTCCAGGGCAACGAGCCTGCAGCCACATCTGAGATTCAAATGGTTGGCAGGGAAAGGGGAGGGGGCCAGTTAGATTCCCTCTTTGAGGGGTGCAAATGCTGAAACATGGCAGTAATGTGGCTGTCAGCCGTGGAGCTGAAGGTGAAAGGATGCCACGAGATGAATGGGGCCATGGAAAGCCAAAGAGGTGTGCAAGCCAAAGGCACCAGGAACAGAAGAGCCATAGGGTCAGAAATAAAGATGCTGGTGGCAGAGAGAAGAGAATGGGGCAGAAGCCCAGAGACATCAAGGCAATGCCAAGGGGGCAAGACACCCGGCCCTGTCCTCAGAGCCACCCCGGTTCCCGAGCTTTGTCGATCCAGTCCACATGCTGCCGCCTTCTGCTCCTTCTCGAGTCCACCCAAGTGGGCCCCCGTTCTATGCAATCCAAGAAGTCAAAGCACTCTTCCTGCCTTGGGCCACTGGGGCTCACAGGAGAATCAGGACCACAGCTCGAGGCTGTCGGTGCCACAAGGGGAAAGCTCTGCCCAGGAGTCACGGGAGCCCAGAGGGAGAGTGTGGCTGTGCTGGGGAGATGTGTGCACGTGGGTGTGTTTAAAATGAGACCTGGAGCAGGACAGGAGGCTGTGGGAAGGGCAGCCCAAGTACAGCTAGCTGCATGCACAGAAGATAGTCATGGAGGAGCCTGGTGCGCTCGGGGGAGGGCAGTAGGAATTCAGCCTGGTGGAGCATAGGGTGTAAATGGGACAGGATCGGAAATCGGGTGGAAGAAGAAATGAGAGGAGCAGATAACAAAGGGCGGAGCCTGAGGTCCCTAGGTGAGCAAAGGCTGGGTGGAAATACACTGAGAGTGCTCTCGGGGAGGAGTGTTTCTCCTGAGACAGAGTTCCATGTCATCAGTTTTTTTAGGTCATAGATCTCTGCCATATTCATCTGATCATTCAAGAGACATTTATTAAGCTGTGGGGGTCTGTAGTAAACAAACCATAACAGCCCTGCCCTCAGAGAGCTTAGAGTACAGCTGGAGAGACAATGAGTAAATAGACGAAGAGATCTAAAATTTAAGGTCAGACGGTGATAAACGCTGTGAAACACCTAAAGCAGGGTAAAGGGCTGGAGAAGGACAGGGACGATTTCAGTCAGGAGGTCTGGGCAGGCCTCTGCAGCAGACATCAGCGTGCTCACAGCTATACGACAGCACCATGTCAGCAGGCTGAAGCCAATGCCACAGAAGGAGCCAGCTGACGATGATTTTAGCCCCCTCAAAATTATTCAGCTGTCATTCAGCCATCCACTTTTCCCTACAAAGGGATAAGGAGAAAGGATGACAGTGCTAAGCCACCAAGCACCTGCCTGTGTTGGCCTGCACACACCCTCAGTCATTCTGGAGCCTTCCAAGCCATGGCAGGGGTTTTCCACAGATATCTCCTTGAGTCCCTATTTCTGCCTTCCTGCTGCTGACAGAGCTAGATCTATAAACCAACCCTCCAGCAAATCACCAAAAACGCAGCAGGCCCACCGCTTCCTGGTGGTCTGCAAATCCTAGTGAGCACACGTGTCTCCTTTGTCATGAGCTCAAGCATTAATCTTGACCACCTGGACCCGGGGGCTTTACAAAGCTGCCGAGGGCAGGCTCCGTCCACCCCCTCGTCCCCCTGCAGAGAAGGCCTCTTGTCCTACTTCTTTGCCTAGGTGACGCCTACTCACCTTTCAAAAGGCAGCACAAATTGTCCCTTCAAGAGGCCTTTCGGAATGGCCCCCACCCCTGCAACGCACACGCCACCTCTGGGCTCCCTCAGCACCTGAGCGTACACTAACCCAGCACTCAACACCCCACACTCTGCTCCTGACTTGTCCTCCTCCGGCGGACGGAGAACTCTTGCGGAACAGGCCACGTTAGTGTTTTTTGTTTGTTTGACTCTCTTGGCGCCGTCAGGTGCACTGCAGCTGTCTGGAATGAGCGTTACCTCCGCTCTGGACAGTCAGTCTGTGCGGAGAGGTGGGGCTCCACCGGGCCATTACTTAGGAGGAACCAGAGATTGGATCAACTTTCCAACATTCTGAACTGGGCGTTCCTGGGTGGCCCTCTCTCCCTGCTGCGGTGGGAATCAGCCTTCTGCAACTACAGTTGGAGCCAGACGATCTGCAGTCTTTCTCAGGTTAATTTACCCACCAACTGAAACTCCACTAACGACATCACTCAGTGTTTATTATCCACTGCATGTCATGTCAGATGCTGCGGTGAGTGCTGAGCACACTGATAATGGTTTTGCTCCCAAAGAACTCACAGCCAGTCTGGTGGACAGATGGGCGCTTACCTGTAAGTGACTGCTCCATACTCCCCGGCCAAGGCCACTCGACTAGCTGGGACTAGCTCCTGGCTCATTGTGCTGAAGATGGCTTCGCTGGAAGAGCCCGCCTGGAACACATCCACAATGAATCCAGGGTTATACAGCCTCGAGTGGAATGGCAAGTCCAAGCCCTCTTGTAATCTGGACCAGGACAGCTACTGCCTGGAACTGGCTTTGACCTTCAAGATAAGATAACCTCTCTAAAGTGGCAAGCCAAGACCAATTTCTCCAGGGAGAGAGAGGGCACAGGTGCCATCCATGGCAGCTCAGAGGATGCTTCCCACATCTCAAACGCTTGGTAGCTCAGGTGCCCAGGGCAGGAAGAGCTGTCAAGATGATTAGAACATGGAAGCCTTCTTCCTGCCACAGATGCCTCCGGTCACCACCAGGCTTGGAACTGACCACTGGACCGCCAAGACTCATCCTTGCAGGCTCCCTTCAGCAGACAGGCCAGAGCCTGACAAGCCCACCCTGGATAAGCTGTGCTGAATCACAACCAGCCCTCCCCATCCCCCAGGAACAAACGAACAAAGAAAAAAACCGAAGAGGAGGAAAAGCACCTTGTTTTCCTCATTTCATTATGAATGGCTCTCAGGACCTGTGAAACCTGTGAAGTATCGAGAAGCTCCTATAAGAATCAAGTATTTTAGCTCTTTTGAATGCCACAGCTGTCACACCCCAACCAGTGGAAGTTTTGATGCTCAGACTAGATGTTTCATGGGCAAAGTGTTTGGCTACTTGTTGGCTATTAACCCAGTTTGGAAGTGCAACAGTCTAATAACCTTCATTCCCAAAATCAAAACAAGAAACTGCATTCTTCAGTGTCCAACATGAGCTGCTGTGGCATTTTCCACCTTAACCTTGGATAGATGCTCTGGGCAGGAGAAAGAATGTCAGGTCTTGAATTTTTGAAACCCACCTGCATAATGGCAAGGGAAAGAAATTACTCTAAATAGACAGAGATCTTTGTTTCTTTTGGGAGGGGAGGGAATACTCAGTTTCCCAAAGCCTCGAGTCCTCCAAGAGTTGAGAGCATGGAGGTGACACACAAGCCTCTGATCTGGAAGTGAGGAGGCTGGGAGAGTTTAGAGGAAAGGCATGGCCTCTCCTCTCCAGTGAGGCAGGTCAAGGGAAAGAGAGGGGAGGGTGGTAATTGCAGACCTGAAATTAACTAACTTGATCAGCGCTGACAGATTAGAAACCAGTGGTTTGGGCTCTTGCTGCTCAAAGTGTGGTTCACAGGCCAGCAGCGGGGCCTCCCCTGGGGGCTTATTAGAAAGGCAGACTCTCAGGGACCCCCAGACTAGCAGATGAGCATGTGCCTCGTAACCTGATCCCCAGGTGAACAGTGGACATATTACAATTTGAGACACGCTACTTCAGACTCTTGTGTGACAGGGTGAGGCAGCCTAACTATATGGGCCCCTGCAGTGGGGAGACTCTGCCTGTCTACTTCCTGGGAAAGGGTGCCATCAGGTCCACCAAGATTGGCATTCTGAGAAATGCTTACGTGACAGATGAAAGGCCCCTCCTTACCGAGATGTTCCACATCATCTTGATGGCTAAGGGAAAGGCAGGGGCCCGTGGCGCTCGCTCCTCCTCTTCTCCTCGTGGAGTGATATCTGGGCCTCTCCCTGGAAGAAGCCCGGTGCTCTTTGCCACCTCCAGGTTCTGGGGCAACACAGGCACGGTGGCTTCATACACGGCAGCACTGCAGCCCTTGCCAATGGACTGCCCTATCAGATACTCCTCCAGCCGGAAGCCCTGCCAGCGTCTAGTGTCCAACGGGTCAGGTAGCAGCTTGTTTTTCTGGGTAAAAATTGCCTGTGAAGAAAAAAGCATGCACCATGTGCCAGAGAGCCTAGGCAGGCTCAAGCAAAGGGAAATGGGAGGGAGAGGTATTGCGAGGCAGGTCTTCACTGACAAGATCCAGAGCTGATAAAAACACAACCAAATTGGGTTTTACTGCTCATCCTGGACTCAGGCCATACTGCCTTTCTCTCTCATTATTCAGAATAACTTTTCTCAAACTCTGTGGCTTCATTGCAATTACAGAGACAGCCTAACACAGAACATGGTAAATTAGTTAAGAGATCAGAACTTGCAAATTCTGCAGCTGATACACCACTCCTGTACTGCCTGTCAAGCTCCCAGCACAGTCTTGGATGTTTCTGATTATGGAGACGGCTCTCTCTGCAAAGACCTTGACAGGCAGCTACTGGAAGGTTACCAGGCGCTGTGGATGGGCAGGAGCACATGGTCAACAGCCACTTCTCCACTGTGAGTGGTCTGCAGGCAAGGGGGTGAAATCAGGAGGATCCCCGGAGCTGAGTCATCACATCCTGTCTTTCTGTCTCTACCACTTAGTTTAATCCGGTGGGCCCACTCTGTTTTCAGAAAGGAACAAGAGTGCAAGAGTCCTGATGGAAAAAGACGGAAATGCAGGTGGGGGTGTAGGGATGCACTGGGTAAGAGCCCATTTCCCCCAAATCAGGGTCCTTCGCTACTTCAGGCAGGTGACATCCCTTCTTCAGGTGCCCAGGCTCCACCTTCTCCCTCAAATCCTGTCTGATCTGCTGATCCCTTCCTCTCCATGGTTAGTCACCCACCTCCAGACTTTCCCACTCTCTCCTTCACCTGCTTCTGAGCCAGATGAAACCACATTGCTTCCATGTGTCACTCCTCTGTTCAAAAACCTAACCAGAGCCAGCCCTGATGGCTTAGTGATTAAAGTTTGGTGCTCACCGCTTCAGTGGCCTGAGTTTGCTCCCTGGTTGCAGAACCACACCACCCATCTGTCAGTTGCCATGCTGTGACAGTGGCTCACAGAGAAGAACTAGAAAGACTTACAACTAGCATATACAATGATGTACTGGGGCTTTGGGGAGGAAAAAAAAAAGAGGAAGATTGGCAACAGATGATAGCTCAAGGTGAATCTTTCCCTGCAAAAAACTCCCCCCAAACCCAAACCTAACCAGGAGGTTATTCAGTACCTGCTCTGGTACTTCCTTCATGGCAAACTGTTTGGCCAGGCTGGTCTGTGCACTGCCCGTACTCATCTTTCATCCGTCTCTCTTGGAAACTTGGCTCACACGACTCCCTCCACCTCTCTCTCTCCGTGTTGCTCTGCCTGGCTCATCCCCACTCATCCATCAAGTCCCAGCTCGAGCTCCCCCTTCCTCTATAACCAGCCCTGACCACCCAGCCCACAGCCACCTCACCTTCTGGAGGATTCCTAAAGCACTTAGTATCTGTAAGCTCAGGCACCTTGCACAATAACTTTTAACTTAAAAAAAAATGAAAGTCTATCTCGATTTGCCAACTAGTTACTGAACTCCATGGAGGAGAAGAAGTATTTTGTAGAGCAATCCTTTATCAGCCATGGCTTTGAGAATGAGATATATTTAACTTTTTATTTTGAAATAACTATAGACTCATAGGCAGTTGCAAAAAAAATAGTACAAAGTGTCATGTGTACCCTTCACTGTTTCCCCTAGTGGTGACATCTTATATGGCAGTAGTACAATATCAAACCCAGGAAAGTGGCATTGGTACACTACCGTTAACTAGACTACAGACCTTACTCAGTTGTCACCATTTCTTTTAAAATGCATTCACACACTCGTGTGTGTGTGTGAGCGTGTAGCTCTATGCAATTTTACCCCGTGTGCAGATTTGCATAATCACCACCACGATTAGGATGCAGACGTGTTCCATCACTGCAAAAGAACTCCTTTGTGTTCCCTCTTTGTATTTGTTCCGCCCCCACCTGTCCCCTGGCAGTCACGGACCTGTTCTCCATTTCTATGTTATATAAATGGAATCTCACAGTATGTAACCTTTGGGACTCCTTTCACTAAGCATAATGCCCTTGACATTGGTTTAGATTGTGACCTGTAGCAATAATGGAGTCCCATTATTGCTTAGTATTCCACTGTATGGATGCGGCAGAGTTTGTTTAACGATTCACCTGCTGAAGGATATTTGGGTTGTTTTTAATATTTTGCTATTATGAGTGATGGTTCTATGAACACTCATGACAGGCTTTAAAAAATATTTTTAAGAATTGTGGTAAAATATACATAAAATTGACCATTTTAACCATTTTTAAGTGTTCAGTTCGGTGGCATTAAGTACATTCACACTGTTATGCAACCATCACCACCATCCATCTCCAGAACTTTTTTCAGCTTGTAAAACTGAAATTCTCTACCCGTTAAACAATAACTCCCCATGCCTTCTCCCTCCAGTTCCTGGTAGCCATCATTCTACTTTCTGTCTCTGTGAATTTGACTACTGTAAGTAGCTCATGTGAGTGGAATCGTACAGTGATTGCCTGGTTGTGACTGGTTTATTTCACTGAGCATAATGTCCTCAAGTTTCATCCATGTTGTAAGCATGTGCCAGAATTTCCTTCCTCTTTTTTCCTCTTTTTTTGGTGAGGAAGATTTATCCTGAGCTAACATCTGTTGCCAATCTTCCCTTTTTTGCCTGAGGAAGACTGTTGCTGAGCTAACATCTGTGCCAATCTTCCTCAATTTTTTGTGAGATCCACCACAGCATGGCTTGATGAATGGTGTGCAGGTCCACGCCTGGGATCCAAACCCATGAACCCTGGGCTGCTGAAATGGAGTGCACAAACTTAACCACTTTGCCAGCGGGCTGGCCCCTTTCCTTCCTTTTTAAGGCTGAATAATATTCCGTTGTCTGTATATACCACATTTTGATTATCCATTCATTCATTGATGGACACGTGGGTTGTTTCTACCTTTTGACTATTATGAATAATGCTGCTATGAACATGGGAGTACAAGTATCTGTTCAAGTCCCTGCTTTCAATTCTCTTGAGTTTACACCCAGAAGTGGGATTGCTGGATCATATGATAATTCTATTTTAATTTTGGGGGGTGCTGACTACTGTTTTCCATAGCAGCTACTTGTGTACAGGTTTTTTTATGAACATAAGTTTTCACTTCTCTGGGTAAATGCCCAAGACTGCAATGGCTGGGTGATATGGTAAATGCATGTTTGGTTTTGTAAAGAAACTGCCAACCATTTTCCAGAGCGGCTGTACCATTTTATATTCTCACCATCAGTCCAGTTTCTCTGCATCCTCTGCATCATTACCATCTTTTATTTTAGCTGTTCTAATAAGTATGCAGAGACATCATATTGTGTTTTTAATTTGCATTTCCCTAACGGTTAGTGATGCTGAACATCTTTTCCTATGCTTATTTGGCATCTGTATCTCCTCTTGGTGAAATATATATTTATGTCTTCTGCCTGTTTTACACCTGGGTTTTTTCCACACACCTCCATCTAAAGGGCGCAGCCACTATTCTACTCCAGTCTGACACCTCATGGAATTTTAGCTCTAGAGTTGCCAGATCTGGTGATTTTTTTTCAAAAGAAGTCAAACACCTGAATTTTTAAAATAAATTGGGAACTAATTAAAAATTTAAGGCACAGGAGAGTGCAGTGTGAGAAAAGGACGTGTGGACAGTAAGCTGAGGAGGATCACACTCCTCGGTTAAAAAACGCCTCCATAATTTTAAGCAGGATTTGTCAAGTTTCTCACTCTTGGCTTCTGTCTGCAAAAGACAAGGACAGTGGCTGGGGACTAGGCCAAATGTCACCTGTCATGCCAACCTGGCCAGAGCTCAAATATGAGACACTGGTGATGAGTAACAAGAGCTGGGCTGGAAACCAGGACACATGGGAGACGCTGCTTGGTCCTTAACTGGCTGTGCCCTTGGGCAAGTCACCCCATCTTCCACGGCCTCAGCCCTAAGCTGTCAAACGCAGGCGCCTTACCAACTCAGTGAGTGGTTCCAAACCCCGGGAGGAAGACTGACCTCCCCGGAAGAGGAGGGAATTCTGCAGCAGCCTGGAACAGCGACACTTGCTCTTCCCAGCCTCCAGCCTGCCCGCCTGCCCTGCAGATTCTGGACTTTCCAGCCTCCATAACTGCAGAGCAAATTCCTTAAAATAAATCTCTCTTTCTACAAACACATCCCATTGGTTCTGTTTCTCTGGAGAAGCCTAACTAATACAGATTTTGGTTGAGTAGTAACAGAGGTCTCTGAGCTATTTTAAGCATTTAAAAGCCTAAGAACGCCTATGTACCTAGTCACCCCTGATAACTCTGCAGAGGTTAACTAAAACGTGTCATGTCTGATGTTTATGCCTGCTGCTCAGGGTTTTTACTGGGGCTTCAGCTATGTCACTAATCTGCTAAACTGTGGAGGCAGCCTGTCAAGGCCACAAGCTTTGGAGAGTCAGACTTTGGGCACCGCCCTTTATTAGATGTGTGACTTCGAGCAAGGTACTTCACCTCTCTGAGTACGTTTCCTCTCATCCATAAATTGGGGATGACAACTACCTTAGTGACAGAAGTGTTATGACTTAGTTGTCATTAAATTTTAGAAAATTTACACAAAGCCGTTAGCCCTGGTGCAACAGGAGCTACAATTAGCAGCCCTGTCTTCCAAAACATTATGCTGTTTGAGGAAGGGAAAACAGTAAAACAAATGTGAGGTGCTGGCCCCACATCAGGAGATCAGTTACAACGAAAATGAGCCTTAATCGGTGATTTCCAAGGAATTTCTGGCTCCGACAAAGGTAAATCTTGACCCAGAGCCCCAATCAAGCAAATGCCTCCCAGGCCCGCCCCATCAGCTCAGGACCCCGCCCACACCCTAGCCCCGCCCCTGATCAGCGTTGGACTCCGCCCACACCCTAGCCCCGCCATCAGCTCAGGACGCCTACACCCTAGCCCCGCCCTGATCAGCGTTGGACTCCACCCACACCCTAGCCCCGCCCCGATCAGCGTTGGACTCCACCCACACCCTTGCCCCGCCCCATCAGCTCAGGACCCGCCCACACCCTAGCCCCGCCCCATCAGCTCAGGACCCGCCCACGTCCTAGCCCCGCCCCTTGTTAGTGTAGGACACGTCCACACCTTAGCCCCGCCCCTTATCAGTTCAGGACCCCGCCCCGCCCTAGCCCCACCCCCTCACCTGCGTAGGATCCCCTCCCCGCCCGCGGCTGGCGCTCACCTGGATGTCCTCACAGGCCGAGGCCGCCCGCCGGCCCTCCGCCTGCTTCTCCTCGATGAGGCCCAGGCCCAGCCCGAAGGCCAGAAAGACGGCCCGGCCGCAGGGGCCCGCGCCGCCCCGGGCCCGTACCACGAACTGCCTCTGGAGCCGCGCCGCCAGCCCGGCCACCGACTGGCGGAAGAAGCGGTAGCGGTCGGGGAGCCCAAGCCCGAGTCTGCGCGGCTCCGCGCCGGGTCCCGCGTTCTGGCCTGGGGGGCGCTCTCCGCGGCCCCAGCCAGCCGCGGGGCCCGGCCGCTCGGGCCGTCCCCAGCCGTAGGCCGGGCCAGGCTTGGCCGTGAAGCGCAGCAGCAGCGCTCGACCCAGCTGCAGGCCCCGGCCCAGCGCCTGTCGCACCGCCATGGTAGCGCCGGCCCGGTGTCGCCGCCGCCGCCGCGGGCGTCCGGGGCGCCTGTCACAACAAACTTCGGAGCGGCGCCTCTGCGCAGGCGCGGACGCCGGTGGGCGGGGCCGCCTCTGCGGCGGTTCCCCGGCCGGGCGCGCGAGGGCGCTGTGCGCGCACCTGAGCGGCGGGTAGTCTTGCCCTTTGCGCTTTGGACCCGGGCAGGGGGTTGCATGTCAGGGAGATCCTGAGTGCGAACATTGCTGGGCCTGGGCAAAATCGAGAAATTAAGAAGGGAAACTGATATTTATCGTTACTCCTCCCTTGTGTCAAACTCTTTACATCTGTTAATTTAATGTTCCCACCAACGAGATAGGAATGCCGTTTTTATAGATAAGAAAACATAGAAAGGACAGTGACTGTCTGAGGTCACATGCAGTAAGTGTCAGAGCTCAAAGTTCATGTTGCCCTGATTGTTGAGTCCTTGCCTCCCCCAGTGCCCTTAGGCTCCCCTCTACAAGCCCACAGGCCCTGCTTACTTCTTAGGACCCCGAGAGGAATCTCCCCGAAAGGCTGCATTTGTCAGATGGGAGAGCTGAGACCTTAAGACGTGGAGCGACCTGCCCACCACAGTCACACAGCTCATTAGCGTCAGAGCCCTGTCACCCAAAGCTGCTGTTAGGAATGACTGATAAAAGGGATTCGTACTGACCGATTTCTTTTTCCTTTCTTTTTCTTGCCTTTTTTTAAAATAGGAATTTTCAAGCATACACAAAAATAGAATAGTATAGTGAAGCCCATGTACCCATTATCCAACTTCAACAATTATCAATAAATGACCCTTATTTCATTCACCCACACCTTCCTACTACCTGCCCCCCTCATTACTTTAAAGCAAAGCCCAGACATCATATTATTTCATTTATAAATACTTCAGTATCTATCTCTAAGAGAGATGAGTGATAAAAAATGTATACAATGTTATCACCTCTAAAAAGATTAAAATTAACTCCATAATTCATTTACCATTCAGTTGATATTCAGATTTCCCTGATTTTTTGTTTCATTTTACACTTATTCAACTGGGGATTCAAAGTCTCCATGATTTATTTGGTCAGCGGGTTATTCTTTAGCAAGGGACTAAGCCATCCCTGGGCTAAGGAGGTATATTATGTGACGCTGCCATTTAAAAAAGTTCCTGTAGTCATGGCTACCTCTACTCATTACTCCCAAGGCTGTTTGTGGGTGAGAGGCCCTTCAAGATGTGTAAAATGTTTTTGTAGGTGTGGCCATGTATCTCTGTGTGTCACTGGGTGAGCCTCAGGGCAAGGAGACATTTGTCTGGCCTGAGACCCACCTCAGCATTGCTTGAGTAGAAAGGGCACAGCCTAACCTGTTTATTTCAGAGCTCATTTGCGTCCTTCAGCACAGCCCTGGTTCCATGCTGTGGAGGAGTAAGAATAGGAGGCTAGCATCTAAAATAAGGCAATCGCAAAAGGATACATCTTTGAATTGGTGAATTTAAACATATTGAAACTAATAAATATCTATTAAGTGGGTGATGAAGATTATTTTAGACTGGTTACTTTTAAAAACTGCAGATGGGAAGGAGGCTCTGAGGAGTACAATTTACTTACCCTTTGTTAAGAGATATTTACATTGTAAAGGAAATCTCCATCTGTAAAGCTGTCTCCCTCTCTGTACCAGGAAGAAGGGGGGATGACCTTATCTCTGGAAACTCTTAATCAATGCCAAAGGCAAGGACTTAAATCTGTATCTTGTTTACTGTACTTGTGTGGTAATCTCCCATGATCGACTCCCCTTCCACCCCCAACATCCTCCTTTGTCTTTAGCTAAAAATAATATTTAAGGTGGTGGCTTCAGCCATTTACTTAATCCGGTTTGATTCTTATCTGAAAATTACAGGACCACTCAATAACCAGACCCCACCTGCACTGATACCATTTTAACAACTTTTTTTTAACATATTCTTTCCTTTGTCTTGTAAAGAGATAACTCACGTACCTATGCCTTAAATTTAGCCCTACCCTCAACCCATTTTTGCAGCAGCTCTTACTGCCCATGGGTCCTAGCCCCATACTGGCAGCAGCTCTTTACTGCCCATGGGTTCTGTCCCCATGCTATTCCACACTATTCTCTGAATAAAAGAGCACTTCTGCCAGACCTTGAGAGTCCAGGAAATCTTTCTTTCGACTCCTCAGCTCTCTGACCCCGCATCATGGGGACCTGGTAATTTCACTCCTAGGTATAGACCCATAGAAATGCATACATAATTTCCCCAAGAATGTTTACAGCAGCATTATTCCACATAGTGTAAAAGTGGAAATGAAGCTGGGTACCTGATGATTACTGTAAATATTTAATAGGGTTACCTTTTGACCTTGTTATGAAAAGAAGTTAATCTTGTCAATTTGCTGTTTTCTTGTTTAACCTGAGAGGTGACTCAAGGGTTGCAAGGATTTATGAGCTTGTTTTACAGAAAGAGAATGCCTTCAAGGATTATGAGACAACCAGCTCCCAGCTGCCCTTGTTGCCCAGAAGTTAGATTGCCTGGGGTGGGGGGTGGGGGGTCTTACTGGGAGTGAAAGAAACAAGGATTACCCCTTTGTTTCTCCCAAACTCCTCCTGCCACACCCCTCAGCTCTATAAAACCCCTCTGCCTTCTTCTTTTGTTAAGGCAGATTTGAGAGAACCCATGCTCCTGCCTTCTCATCTCGGCCAATTCGAATAAATCTTTCTCCATGTCCGAGCACCCCTGTCTGGGTGTTTTGCAGGGGCACATGAATTTGAGGTTAAGAGGTTCAGTATCAGAAAGAACTCAAATGGCCATCTACAGTAGACTGGATAAATTGTGATATATTCCCCCAATGGAATACAGATCAGCCATAAGAGTGTCTACAACTATATGCAACAACATGGAGATATTCCGTCTAAATGAAGTTCAAAGGCAGACAAAACTAATCTACAGTGTTAGAGGTCAGGAGAGTGGTTGCCCTTGGAAGGTAGCTACTACAAGGGGACTTGAAGAGGCTTCGGGGTGCTGGTGACATTCTGTTTCTTGATCCGAGGGTGTTCATGTGATGAAAATTCATCTAGATGTACACTTTAATTTGTGCAATTTTCTGTGTGTAATGTGTCAATAAATATTTTACATAAAAAGCTTTTTAACATAATGAAAGCTTTTTTCCAAAGTTCAGTCTAACTCATTCAGGGTCTCAAATTTTTAAAAAAATGAATAGAACATTAAAGTTCATGATGTTTTCTCAATTGTCTCTCAACTTAGTGGTTTCAAACACCAAATACATTTGAATAATGAGCTCATTCTTTCATCATAAACCTTGAGGGGAGCTTTCCTCTGCAGCAGCGCACGTCTCAGTCGCCTACTTCTGAAACATTGAGGATGGGACTTTCCATTGAGTGGGGCCAGCCAACATTAGGGAGTGCCTACACTTTGGTTCTTTTCATGATGGTGTGGTGGGAAAGGCAGGCGCCAAGAGAGAGACATATCTCTTTCTTCCTTCTTAAATACGAAGTTGAGGAACATGTAGGTGGTAGTCGTTGCTAGAGGGGGTCTTCCATCATCTGAAGAGTTCTGGCTCCCCAGGCTTGCTTGGTCGTGGGGTGGACCCCTGGCCAGGGAAAGGTGGCCATCTGTTTCCGTGATGTGTGTGTGTGTGTCCTGATCTCTCTGATGAGAAATTGCAGGGCCCTTGTGATCCCCAGTCATTTATTTGGGAGAGATGTAAATAGATGAATTTCTTTCCAATTTATTTATAAAGGCACTTGGAGAACAGATATTGTCTTTCATTTTTTTGATTGATCTCAGAGAATTTTAAGTTACAATTTAAAATGCTCCGTTGAAATTGTCCTGTCGAGAAAGTTGGGGAAGAGAAGGTTTGAGAAACTCACACTCCAGGGACCACAGTTCACCTGAAAGGTTTCATTTCAAGGTTAAATCTATACCCATCTGCTGTGTGTCATTATCATTACGACTCTTCTCTTTAATGTTCACTGAAAAGGAACAAGAGATTCTCTGAGATATTTAGTGTTTTAATGACTAAAAGGATTTTCTTTACTCTCCTAAGACTGTAACCTTTTACCATGAGGCTTGTGACGACCACACAGCTTGTAAGATGTCTTCACTAAAGGGACATTGTATTGGTTGTTTTGAGATAAAAGATGCATCTGTTATCAGCCTCTGGACTTGTGCCCTTAAGCTTCAAGTGACCTGTGATGCTTGACCCACCCAGATTTCATTCTGGAAGCGAAATCTCCAGACTGATGTTAATTAACCCTCCACTGTAGGCTGTGTAGTTTCTTGTTCAACAGAGATCGCTGGACTGGTTCACTTCTCCTTCTGTAGGAAAATCTAAGTTGCTTCTGACAGGTCTGAGCCAAGCACAGCTTGATTCTTCAGCAGATGTCCAAATGGAAGGGGCGAGCATGTGGATTTCTACACAGAGAAGCTTCTAGCAGGGATGGCTGGGGTTCCATGTTCTCCATTCTCAGGGCAGAAATACAGCCTTACCGTGGTGGGGCTGTCTTTCTTGGGGATCATGGCCCTGATTCCATTTGTCCCCATCTGTTCCCCTGAGAAGGAAAAGTCATTCTGTGGTGGCACCAAGTCTCAGGTCTCAGGGAATCGTCCTGAGGTGCTCCCATAGCATCTTTTGTCTCTCTTTAGTAGTATCCTAAGAAGTCGGGGATGTGGTATATGGTTTTCTGCTGCAAAATCTGTTGACATTGCAACTTTAATATTCTGTATGAGAGTCTGATTCATTCAGGGAACATTTACTAAACATCAGCTATGTACTGGGCAAGCTGTGATATGCTCAGCCACAAGAGGAGAATGGAGAGGGGCTATTGAGAGGCGGCAGGACTCTGGTATCCACTCTGCTCTGAGGGCATCCTGGGTCTTCATTGTACCCTTTTCCCTCCAGGTGGCAAGACTGCGTGGTTTTGGTAAAGTACATAATATTCCTAAGAAGCATCATTTAACCTTCCCCCAGAGGACATGGGGAAAAAAAAAAAACTGATGCTAATGT